CCTATGTAGTGGGTAGAAATTTTACTTTAAAAAAAATAAGGATTTATTGTCTCGTGTGCTTATACTTACCCAGGTAGACAGAATAAGCATGATCGTCCCCACCCAATAGATGAGGAGGTGCCTGGAGGGCTAAGAGTTTCCCAGGGTGACCCAGCTAGGAAACAGCATCACTCCCACACACGGTTCTGGCACTTTCTGTAGAAAAGCTCCATTCTGTTCCACAAAATGTATTCAGCTGTGCCTCTGAAAGTTAACCCTCACCTGAGACCAGGAAAATGCTCTGACCCAGCAGGGGATAAAAACAAGACAACCCTCTCAAAAGGAAAGGGGGGGTGAAATATGATATGGCTGTCCATTCTTCACATTTGTTTGTAAAACTAACGCTAAAACTAACGCTAAAGTTTTGGTAACATCTGCACCTGGTCATAACCACAAAACTGAAAATTCGAATGCTATGATAACATGTTGGGTTTGCAATTTGAAGAGATTCACATCTCTCAGGAGTTACAAAACCGTACTCAGACCCATATGCACAGACAACCTGCAGCAATGCCAACTGCCAATGGATCCTTCTGGAACGGGGACTCGGAGCTTGCCTGGGCTGGACAGTGCTACTTCCCAGAGGATCCTAAGGACTTCCCTAGAGGTGCTCAAGCATTAGGGTCTGCCAGAATCCCCTGGCATCCCTAGGTTCTGATCCTGTAGGTCTGCCATGGGGCCCTGTAATCGAGAGACCTCTCTAGCCAGCAGCCATAGTCATTCTGATGCAGAGGGCCCAGGCCACCCTCAGAGAAACGCTCTGCCGCTGTTGCTTGTGAAGACCCCACTTAACGGAGAGCAACAGGTTCGAGGGGCTGTGACTCGTCAGGCCTTGCTGGAACCGCATTCCGGTGGTGGCTCTTACCCCACACAAGCAGGAGAGACGCCTGAACATGACATCCCTGGCTGCCCAACCGAGTCCTCTTGGTTGGGGAGTAAAATGTAGCTAAAAGTTTAAAAACAAATGATAAATAACTAGCAATTATTACATTTCAACATACAATGCCCCTTCTCCTTCTCTGCCCTGAGATTCATTCACTCTCTTCACCCACCTAAATATCTCTGAACATCCTGTGCCAGAACTGCCTGATCTGTCAATAAGGTAAAAGTTTTCTAAACCTCTATGCATATGATTCAATTTGTCGGTAAAAACTGCCACCCGCGCTGTGCTTGCAGAAAATTGTCCATAAACACATCACTGTGACTGGCAGAACGATGTCTACGATAAAAACAAATAGATTTAACAAGTGCCTGCTTTTATATGCCACGCCGCTGGTGGACCATCCATTCGGTGTCCCCCAGCTGAGGCTTCTGGGAATGGGCGACAGGGCTGGGTGGGAGACTTTGCTCACTTCACAAGTATCACGGGTAGAGAATTACTCTACCAAGAAACTTTTAGGAGCAGGAGAGTGAACACACCAGCCATTTATCGCGCTCTCACCATTCCTTTCATGGTTACACAAACTATGACCACTTTAACAACCATAAGAAAATGTTTTTGTAGAATTTTTTACTGGTTTTAGAACAGCTACCTCCGGTGGGGGGTGAAGGGGACATGAGGCCTCGTTGGAGAACCCGGCTCTGCTGTTAAGCCACTGATTCAACTGAAAACAACTTGTGGGGTCAACACCAAGTTTCACCCTTCAGAGCATCTGCATGGGCAGCCCCCAGGGCGGCCTATTCAGTTATTTAGCTGGAGGAGCTTCGGGCATGCAGGCTGCCGCCGACTGGCTTCGCTGCCGGGACCCAGCACCTTGGCAGGTCTCAGTGTTTGATCCCTTTACAGGTGAACCACACCAGCCAAAGCCACTCTAATAATTCAAAGATCAACAAAATCACAAAAATGATTTCTTCCTTTTCGTAAATCACTTTAATAGCTCTATGAAAGAGGAAGTCATTCATTACATTCCATACTATATTCATTAATTAGTTCTCCCCAAACTACGCAGCCCTCCTATATAAGCTGTACTGTCAATTTTTTTAAGTAAAAAAAAAAAAAAAAACAGACTATTTCCACCAACCAGCAGACATGCAGCAGTTAATGAAAAGCCACAGAACATATATCTTGCAACATTTGGTCCACAACACAAGGTCTCCAACTTCTACTTAGCTCTGCCCAAGACAGGCCTGCAGAGCTAACAGCATAGGTTCACAAACTCCTCATGCCAACCAACGGCCCTCCTGGACAGCTCAAACCTCCTCCCTCCCAGATAAACCCTTTCACTTCAACCCAGGAGTGGGGCGTAGGGCTGGCTTGTATATCATGAGCGTCTATATAAAGACCATACCACCCCACTGTCAGGTTATGGTTTATGTGTCTCTGATTTTAAATCCTTCAGGTATGGTTTAAATAATATCCTGCAGGGCCAGACACGGTGGCTCATGCCTGTAATCCCAGCACTTTGGGAGGTCTAGGAGGGAAGATCACTTGAGTCCAGGAGTTCGAGACCACCCTAGGCAACACAGGGAGCCCCTGCCTCTAAAAAAAAAAAATATTAGCCAGGCATGGTGGCACACACCTGTAGTCCCCGCTACTCGGGAGGTCAAAGCAGGAGGTTCGTTTGAGCCCAGGAGTTTGAGGCTGCAGTGAGCTATGCACTCCAGCCTGGGCGACAGAGCAAGCCCTTGTCTCTAAAAGTAATAAAATAATATTCTGTGGTAAGACCCGAGCCCAGAAAGTAGCTGGATCAAAAGCTACCTGTCCCAGGAAACAGAGAGTCAGGAAGGACTGTAGCAACAGCCCAAGAGCCAAACGAGTACAGGGCCCTTCAGGGTCTGGGAGGCTCAATGTGTCCCCTGTAGGAACTAGAGTCCCAAAGGGAAGTCAAAAACCTCAGGGCAAGTGGATCTGAACAAGGAACTTTATGCTGGGGAAGGGGGTCAGAATGAAGCGCAAAAACAATCAAAGAATAATGCTAAAGGAAAAGATAATGCAGAAAATTCAGTTTTGCCTCTATTTTCTATCAAAGAGAATATACTATAAACTGAAAAGGGTATTAACACCAAAAAAAAAAAAAAAAAAAACTGGAAGGTTTGAATCACTGGCTCCTAAACGTATGTCCTCTGCAAAACAGGACAATTTAGTAAGTTTATTTTATTATAAAATACTGGAAGAGTCAGGGCTTTGGTGTCCTAAGAAAGGGTAGGAAGAAGACTGGAGAGGAACAAACTCTGAGGGGGCAATGGGGAAGGCAAGTTCTTTTTCAGGCCTTCCTGCCCCCTTCTTCCCTGCAAAAGAAGAGAGGCGGCCCTGATTGAGACACCTGGGAAGGAAACCCAAACAATGAAAGGTAAGCCCCAGGTGATATCAATGTAAGACCTCAACAAGTTTCAAGAATCTGAGCAGCTGAACAAAGTGCTACCCAATGTGTACCTAGGGCTCTATTTCTTTCAACCTTACTAACAGCAAAGCCTTTTTAAAGTAGTGCCTAATAATATTAGTTAAATCGTTATTGTGATACAGATTTTTTTTTTCCTTTGGGACACAGTTTCACTCTCATTGCCCAGGCTGGAGTGCAATGGCGCAATCTGGGCTCACTGCAACCTCCACCTCCCAGGTTCAAGCAATTCTCCTGCCTCAGCCTCCCAAGTAGCTGGGATTACAGGCACGCACCACCACGCCTGGATAATTTTTGTATTTTTAGTAGAAACAGGGTTTCACCATGTTGGTCAGGCTGGTCTCAAACTCCCGACCTCGGGCGATCCACCCACCACGGCCTCCCAAAGTGCTGGGATTACAGGCGTGAGCCACCGTGCCTGTCCCAGATATTTTTTATTATTATTAAAATATATACATTGAAAAGTACCTGAGTATAGCTCTGTACTAGAGGCCTACTTCATCCAGGCCCCTGACTGTGGCAGACACCACTCCACTATTCAAATTCTAACAGGAGAGGGAAGGCCCAGGAAGACAGACACGACAGGCGGCAGAGTAAGGCCAGCTCTCCTCTGCTACTTGCAGGCAGGCTCTGGGTCCCAGCAAGTATCCTGGCCTTCTGAGTTAACGTGTTGTTAACAATCAGCCAGGCTCTTGACTCGGTTTCCTTCAACGTTTTCACAGCCCCACCCACCAAGTGTGCTAAGCTTTCGTTTTTTTTTAAATCTGTTCATCTCTCAGAGTGTTTTAGCCACTGAGTGGGCCCTGAAAATAACAAAACCATCTCCTAGTCACCTGCCCAGGGATGGGGCAGATGACGGGAGAGTCTGCCTTCACAGATACTCTATAGGTTTATATTTGGATGTCTATAAATAACCAGTCTAATTCTCAGCTCTCTGTGCTTAACTCTCTCTGCTTAACATTCTACTGAGAACAGCTGTGGTGACCCCTCTCCAGACCAAGCCGCTTCCCTCAGTCTGATGATGGTCCCAGCAGGCAAAGGTTGCACACATATGTACAAAGTCTGCTTTCCAGGACAGAAAGCCAGCTACCCGGCTGAGGCAACTGGGAGCAAACACCACCCTGAGATTTCAGGAGATGATGAACCCAGGAGTGCGAAATACATAGTTCAGAACTCCTCTGCGGTGTTGTCACCAACTTGGGAATTATGGCGCCCAGTGTGTGTGGCTCTCCAGCGAGCCTTGCTTACTCTAGGTATTGATGAATACAATTAGGGTGTGAGGTACACAAACACCAGCCATGGTTAGGAGGAGGCCCCTAGAACTTGGCCTCCAGCAGGAAGGAAATATGGGACTCTGCCCAAGTATGCTAAAGGCTTGCTGCAACCAAGGCCCGCGCAGGGGCTTCTGGAAGCTTCCCGGAGCAGCTGGTGGAGGGAAGGCTGGCAGCATGGAGGGGCAGGAAGAATCCGGGGCCCGGTCCTGGAGCCGGCACCTGGAGGTAAGGCAGGAGCTGCCACGACCCCCGCCACACGCCAGGCCACAGTCACTGCAGCGCAGCCCGGTCCAGGAACCCCAGGCCCGGGGGAAGGTTGGGCAACACTTTGGAGGCACTTGGGGCGCACCTGGAGTTCGCCCGGGGTGGGTGGCGGTCAGGGCGGCCCCAGACCCGAGTGAGGGCGCCTGCAGGACCACTCGAGACTGCCGCCGTCCCGAGGGAGAGCCCCGCAACTCTGCCGGGAGCAAGGCGACCCAGACACTCACCAAGTCGCAAACGGTGGCGGACCCGCGAGGACCTTGCGGCGCCCGGCAACGCCAAAGCGTTCTACAGGGCCGGGCCGTCATGGGGGGCGGGCGGCCGAGGGGCGCGGGGCGGGCCGAGGGGCGCGCGGGGCTGGCGGATGGGGCGGGATCTAGAGCGGGGCGGAGCCGAGGACCTGAGAAAAGCAAGAGAGCGCGCGGGGGGCGGGGCCGGGGCGCGCGGGGGCGGGGCCGGGGCGGGGCGGGGTGTTCCCGCCCGACCGGGTCGGCGCATGCCCAGTGCGGCGGCGCAGGACCTGAGCCACTCTGCGCAGCCTCGCTGGATGCCGACGCGCGGGCCCAGGTCCTGCAGCAGCGCTAGCTACTCTGTGCGCCTGATCCCCCGGCCCTTTGGCCGGTACAAACCAGGCAGCGCCTTCCCAGCTTCCGCCTCAGGTTCTGTGCCTTAGTTTACCAAATAGCCCATACCTTTTCCTGTCACAGGGATAGTCCGCGGGCGTGCAAGCGACCTGCCACGTGCCCGAGTGGTCCTGAAGGCGCGCGGTGGTCGTGGGACAGCGCCCGCTTAGTGAGAATCCCAGTCCTGCTCGGGGCGGCTACACTGAGCCCGGAGCGCGAGTCTCTCCCCTCCTGAGGCCGCTTCCTGGGTCAGGGACCCTCAGACCAGCAGAGACCCTGTCAGGGGGCCGTGGGGCAGCCTCCAGGGCCTGTGGTGGGCGGTCCCGTCCAGGTGCTGCAGTCACCGATGGCCTAGACACGGCCAGGGCCTGACTCAGCCGCTCTGCAGAAAGCGCACAGGGTGCCAGGCCCTGCTTGGGGTTGTGTGGACATTATTAGGAGATGAATTGTGTCCACCAGAAAAGCTATGTTGGAGTCCTAACTCCCAGTACCTCACAGTGTGACCATACTTGGATATGGGGACTTTACAGAGGTAACAAGTTAAAATGAAGCCATCAATTAGTGGGCCCCTCATCCAGTAGGACTCGTGTCCTTATAGGCAGAAGGCCACTTGGGGAGGAGGAGTGGAGGGCTGCACCTGCAAGCCGCCAGAAGCCGAAGAGGACAGGCTCTTCCCTGGAGCCTTCGGAGGGAGCAGGGTCCTAACACACCTTGGTTTCAAACTTCTGGCCCCCGGAAGTGTGAGACAATAGGTTTCTGTTGTTTAAAGCCACTCAGTGTGTGGCACTTTATTATGGCAGCCCCAGGCAATGGGTACAGAAACCATTGTCTCTAACATGGTTGGCATAACCACCCCAGGCAGTAGTATCATCCCTGGAGGCCTCAGAGAGGTCACACACCCCTTGGCAGTTTCAAGGATCCCATCCGATGCCCACATGCTCTAAGGCACCATTGCTATGGGCCTTCTAGGTTCTGTTTGTTATCTTAATGGAAAGGGGTCTTCGCCTTCCCAGTGTAGCTTCCCAGCTGGGATTTGGCCAATGCTCATACCTTCGTATTTGTGACTTGCAGGATCCAACATATTAGCATGAGTGATAAGGGTTGTTCAGAGGAGAACTTCAGCAGGATTTGCTTTGGGATGCGCCCTGGTGACAATACAGGCTGCATCATTGATTCTCTGAGGTTCCCCACCCTGGACCGTGCCTTGGATGAGACATGTTTTAAATGGCTGCTTGTGGAAAATAAACTAGGCCCTGAGTACACAGTATAATGGTCAAATCAAGGCACTTTTTCCCCACTGAGCCTGGACACAGCCTTGGAATCCTTCTCCATACTGTGTTCCAAGCAGCCATTCACATTTAAACTAATGTGGAAGGAGAGATGAAACATGTTTGGCCTTGGCTCTGGTTTTTTCTATCAGCCTTCTGTAAGACTTTGGGAAACTCATCTGACTTCTCTAATCCTCAGTTTCATACTCTGTAAAGGAGTCTTATGATCATGTACCGTGCGTGTATACAAACTATCCTTCCATATTAGGGCATGTGTGCATAGGGAAAATAAACCACCAGCACCACACCATACTACTAAGAAATGATGCTATACACCAGGCCGCTTACAGCCTGTTACTACCAGGACCCAGTTAGAACCAGGATCCCAATAGAACCAAAGGAAAAACAATGCCGAAATGGAATCAGAGTGCCGACCAGTATTCTAACAAGTGTGCTGTTAAGTAGTTTTGCAGTTAACACAGGACTCATACGTTTATCTGAATAATATTTTCAGACGAATCCCTAAACTCTTAAGAAAAAGAGACTGGCCCGTCTTAGCATCTCTCATTCCCCACCCTAGGAAAGAAAGGCCAATGTGGTCATCCAAAGGCCCTTTAGGAGGGCCCTGTGGGAATGGGGAGATGGTCCACGAGAGAAAGTGCTGGCTTCCCGGGGAGACGTGTGGACCTGGCCCTGGCTCCACTGACAGGACTCAGTCCCGTTGCTGCTGTAGTAGGAAGGACTATATGAAGGGCCACAGCTACTTCAGTGGTAAGGACTGTGTCAGGGCTCCAAGATCAGGAGCCGAATGTGGGTCTCAGCGCAGAGGGGCAAGAGGGAAAAGGCCACCACCTGACCAATGACTGGCCTGCAAAAGACCAGGATTCAAGGATGGGACCGCTTACGCTGTCCAATGAGCAGAACTCAAGCCCACACTCCCTACACTTGCTGGTGCAAGCTCCTCCCTTCATCATGGTAATTTCAAAAACCCACGTTTTCATCAAGAGCTCCCCCACGCCTCTCCCCCTTGTCCCATTACAATCTCATCATCGCCTGCGTGTTCATCCTACTGTTAAAGGAACACAGGATGGCTCCAAAGCGAGGAGGTCACCGGGTCCACTGAAGAGTAAGGAACACAGGACAGGGAGGCTCAGATGTGGTGCCAGCCGTACCCCTCACTGAGCAACCCCTGACTTCTCTGTTGATAGGATGACAGCGCAGGACTAGTTGGGTGAGATTCCTTTGAGGTCTCCCATCTTCGGATTAACAAATCACAACCCCTTTTTCTCCAGACACAGATTCCTATGAAGAACGTTTTACAAAAGAGGTGGGAAAACCGCAAAAGGGTATGCTCAACTCCATTCCGACTTCTTCAAGGAGCTCCCTGGATTTCCTTTAAGATCAGCCAGCTTTCTTGTGGGCACTGGGAACAATGTTAATTTGCATAGCTTCTTTAAACATCCAAATAGATACCTTTTGGGTTAAGCAAATGAACATGACATGCGATTGCTTCTAATGATTTGCAACCCAAGAAATTTGTTTAATAAGCCTGTCTTCCCAAGCTACTTTTGTGACATTAGAGACCATTTACAACAAAGCTGTCTTCAGTAGTCAACCTTAATCCTTACTACCCTACCTTTGGGAAATGAAAGGATTTTATAACGATCACATAAAACCTTATGTGGTTTGAAAGCCCCAAACTCCGGACAAATGTGTGATGGTCGTGTAACAAAAGAAACATATTACAGAGCTCCCCACTTTAAGTGTTTTACATATGGTTTGCTTTTAGGATAGCATCTCTGGTGGAGGGCTTTGCTGATTAACACAATTGATTTTCTTAGCCCCAGTGTTCCTGTAAACGTTGGAGCCAAGAGCTGGAGTCAGCGCCTTGGACCTGGGAGAGGCCAGGAGGCCAGGGAGCCTCAAGCACTCTGGAGGAAGAACCCTGAAATGAAAAGGTGGGGGCCATCAGTAGCGGGGTTGGGTGCCAGGTGCTTCTGATTACACTCCTGTGTGACACTAGTTGTCAGCATGGCAGAAGCATTGTGGTGTAACTGTAGTAGGGAGTGTAATCCATGAGTAGGCAGGAGGAAGGGCGGGAAGGAGGGACTTCAGGCTTTGCCTCACACAGAGGGTAAGGGAATGGTGCAGGGTGGAGAAAGGGGATGGGGGTGCAACTAAAACAGGAGGGGCTCCTTGGCTCTTGCATTCCTCCAGAGAGGCAGAACATCCTCCTGCCAGGAGCCCCTGGGAGCTCCTGTTGAGATCTGGAAGCCTTCAGGCCCTTTTGTGTCAAGAAGGGCAGGAAGGATAATTGCTAAGGAAATGAACCAGAGGCAGCCCAAAGACTCCTATTCGAAAGACTTTTCCTGAAACTTCCTTTGCCAGTTTGTGGGTGCAGGGCCTGGAGGTGGATTTACGCAGGCCCTTGTGGGGTTTGTAGTGCAATGGCGCACAGATAAGGAAACAGTTTGCTCTCTGGAGCAGTGCTCTACCCAGGAGATATGCGGGGGCAGTGGGAGTGCAAAGGAGGCCCCTCCCTGCGCTGACTCTCCCTGCAGCAAGCCCTTTTCTTTTTTTTTTTTTTTTTTTTTTTTTTCTTTTTTTGAATTGGAGTCTCTCTGTGTCGCCCAGGCTGTGGTGCAATGGTGCCATCTTGGCTCACTAACCTCTGCCGCCGGAGTTCAAGCGATTTTCCTGCCTCAGCCTCCCAAGTAGGTGGGATTACAGGCACACACCACCATGCCCAGCTAATTTGTCTGTATTTTTAGTAGAGACGGGGTTTCACCATATTGGCCAGGCTGATCTTGAACGCCTGACCTCAGGTGATCCACCCGACTCGACCTGCCAAAGTTCTGGAATTACAGGCGTGAGCCAACGTGCCCGGCCCATCAAGCCCTTCTCAAGCGCCCCAGTGTTCAGTGTAGCCCCTCACAGAGAAACAAGCTCAGCCAGGATGTCTGCTGGGGTTGGAGGAATGATGCAAGGAAAGATCTGCAAGAGAAAATGCATGGTACTGGATGTCTAGCGGGAGAAGCACCACTTAGGTGAAGAACCACGGCTATTTGTGGAATTTGGATCCGGTTGTCCAGTAATTGGTGGACAAAGATCATTGCAAACCTTATATAGCTCTTCCCTCCAAACTGTTGCAACTTTAGACAATTGACTATTCAAGGAATGTATATAATGAATGTAAAGAAAAAAGTCCACTCATCGGGTATATGTATTTGGATACGTTGGCTTGGAGAACTACTCACACAAATGGAAGCGCTCTGGAGGATGTTTACCCAGCCTGGGAGGGGCTATTTGAGTGTCCGCGACTCAGGACTGGGATTTTGTTT